GGATTGAACCAACGACTGGTTAGCCCCCGAGCCCAGGGCAGGTGGCCCATCACTGGCTTGTTTCGGCTCCTCATAGCAGACTGAGGGTTTGTACTGATCGCTGGCGAAGATGCCTGTCGGCATTGGCTCTCGACCGGACGTCGCTTTCACCAGCGCGTCGGCCGCCTCGTTGAGACGCCTCGGGATATGATTGAGCTCGAGACCGTCGAACTTGTCCTCCAGCTGGTGAACTTCTCGGTAATACACAACCATCTTGGCATTGTGGCAGCTTGATTCCTTTATGACTTGGTCGATGACCAGCTGGGAGTTGCCCTGGACGTCAAGCCATAGGATACCCAACTCGATGGTGATGTGCAAGCCATTGATGAGTGCCTCATATTCGGCCACATTGTTGGAGGAGGGGAAATGGATGCGAACCATGTACCTCATGCATACCCCGAGGGGGGAAACAAAGACTAGCCCTGTGCCGACGCCTTTCTTCATCAACGATCCATCGAAGTACATCATCTAGTACTCTTGGTCGATGACTGCTGGCGGCATTTGGACCTCGGTCCACTCTGCAACAAAATTAGCTAGCACTTGGGACTTGATGGTCGTCCGAGGGCCATATGAAATACCTTGACCCATCAGCTCGAATGCCCACTTGGTGATTCTTCTCGTGGCATCCCTATTTTGGACGACCTTACCGAGAGGGAAGGACATCACGCCCGTCACTAGATGCGACTCGAAGTAGTGACGCAACTTCCTTTTGGCAATGAGGACAATGTATAGGAGCTTCTGGATTTGGGGGTAGCGGTTCTTGGAATCAGACAAGACCTCGCTAATGTAGTATATGGGACGTTACACTTTAAGGGAGTGTCCCTCTTCTTCTCGCTCTACCACCAAGGTGGCGCTGACCACTTGCGTGGTGACCGTGATGTAGAGCAGAAGCGGTTCCCCGTCAGTCGAGGGGGACTAGGATCGGGGCCTTCATCAAAAGCTGTTTGACCGTGTCAAGTGCCTCCTCGGCCTCGGTCGTCCATTTGAAATCGTCGGCCTTCTTCAGGAGCCAGTAGAGGGAAAGACCTCATTCGTCGAGGCGCGAGATAAAGTGGCTAAGCGCGGCGAGGCACCCTGTAACTCACTGTACCCCTTTTATGTTCTGAATCGGGCCCATCCTCGTAATGGATGACATCTTCTCTAGGTTGGCTTTGATGCCACACTCAGAAATAATAAAACCTAGTAGCATACCCCTTGGGACAGCGAGCCCTTAGCCTGCTGTGCCGCCGCACGCTCGAGTAGCGTGTGAATCTTGCGATGGGCCCAATGATCCTCGGGCGTCGCGGGCCCTGGAAGCCCCCAGAGCAAGGCCGCCGCAGCAACGATGTTCTGGCTCGCTCGGGTGAAGTGTGGGAGGGCTTCATCATCCTCGATGATCCTCTGGTTCATGTCGCGGGCCATGATACGTGCACGCCCACCGTCTCCATGGCGCTCGGTCTCTCGCTCGAGCTCAAGACGCTCCACCTCGAGCCGAGTCATGCTTCCTTGAGCTCTTGGTGCTGGGCCTTCACCGCTTACCCAAGAGCGAGGTGATGCCCTGCATCCCTCATGACCTCATCGTCGAAGTCGTTCATTGGGGTAGCCTCTCCCTCATGGATGCTTTCGATGTATCCCTCGGGGGTACCTGCCATGAAACATTCATAAGAGGGATGATGGCTCCCCCTGCTGGAGTCAGAGCTAGAGGCGTGACTCCGATTCTCCTGATGAGGAGGTCATGGAAAGATTCCATGACATATTTCCGATCATCCCCACGAACTCGCTGCTCACGGGAATGGAGGAGTGTGTTGCGCCACAGGTGGGCCAACGGTCTCTGCGGCGTTATGGAGACCGGACGGGAGCGCCTGTCAGGTGCTCCAGATGAGGTATTCCAGAGAGAGCGGCTCTCCTCCCAAGCATGCTACGCCATGACATTGGCAAACGAGAAGGTGAGGGGCGAGGGTCCTCCTAGGATGGTCGGGTCTAGGAAGGCGCCGAGCTAGTGCTCTAACCTCCCGTAGTCAAAGCCAAGGAGCTGGTCGCCCCGGGCGCGGGCCTCTAGTGCATGCAACAGCTCCTCAAGCGCCTCGGCGATCACGTCGAGGCCGGGCGGAGTGGAGAGGTTGGACGGTGGCGGAGCTCGCGCCAACTCTCCCTCCGTTGTGATGATGAAGTCCAAGTCCCCGAAGCTCTCATGCACGCACGGGATCTAGCTGACGCCGTGACTGGCCATCCGAGACCAGAAGTGGACGTTGAGACGCGCAAAAGGCCCCTACCTGGCGCGCCAACTGTCGGTGTTTCGAGTTACCACCGACGAGTAAATTTCTAATATTATTGATCCGCTCGGATGGTGTGCTTAGAGGACACGATGTTTATACTGGTTCAGACAAAAAGTCCCTACGCCCGGGCTAAATTCTGCTGCTTTGCTGTGTTACTAGCACTGCAAGTTTATAGTTTGGGGTACAAACGAGCGAGAGAAAGACATGTCACAAGTCTCTAGTGAAAGGAGTGAAAGGGTGCTGAGAGCTCGGTTGCTGCTCTTGTGTGTATCTAATCGGTTCGGGGTCGGATCGGATCGGTCCTCGATGGGTCGATCCCCTATATGGACGCCCGCTTCCCTTTATATAGGCCAAGGGAAAGCACGTGTTACAAAGCAGAGAAAAAAGAAGAATGAGAGGAGAATAAGTCCTTTAGTATCGCCGGATCCTTCTTCTTCTTCATGCGGGTCCTCCGACCTCAGATGTCAATATGGGCAGCTCCATGTCACGGCTCTGTCACACCGGGCGCCACGCGCAGCGCCGTCACCCGGTCGTCATGGCGTTCCATTTCGTCCCAAAGCAGACGTCGTGATGAACCGACACACCCGTTAGCGTCAGACGATGGTTAGGCGTAAAAGACCCACACGCCTAACGCCGTTTTTGATGTGAACTCTCGAGATATGGCCCGTCGTGGCCACGAAAGTTACATCGGGCGCGCCGGTCTCTTTCTTGGTGTCAGAGTTTTGACCTAGGCCCATACGCTTTGACCTAGAGTGGTTGGCGGCGGTATGGGTCTCCGTCGGGCGAGACGGAGCCCGCAACCTCGGGGTCAGGCAAGGCGGAGCCCACCCCCAGAGGTCGGGTGAGGCGGAGCCCACCTCCAGGGGTCGGGCGAGGTGGAGCCCGCGGCCTCGGGTCGGGCGTGAGGCGAGCCCGCCCCCCCTAGAGGTCGGGCGAGGCGAAGCTTGCGCGCTTGGGGATCGGTTGGAGCTGTAGTCGCGCTCTTGACTGCTCGGATGAATTAATGTTGATGGTTATTAGCTCCTCTTCGGGTACCCTAGTATTGGTCTCCGACAACTATTTTAAGTGGCGTTGCGGTAGCTTAAATATCCCTTATGACCGTTTGGATCATTTCATTTGGTGAAATTAAAATCTACTTAATAAATTAGGCTATTTGGCTTGAAATTTGATATTGCACCGCTTTCCAAAGTTCACATATAAGTCTATCTTAAATTCATATGGTGGGAGATAGAAAATGATTCTATAGATCATCGTTCTATGTTTTTACTTTATAACTTATGACACGTTCTTCAACCCACTCCTCTATAATAGAAATGCAACACATAATTATCTCTATGGTATAGCCAACAATAATATATAATACACAATCATATTATCTTAATTAATATATGTCTAAATTATGATTATTAAATAAATTCAATTCTAAAGATCTAAACGGGCCTTAGTGCTTCGATTATATAATAATAACTATACATCGTAATGTCAAATAATACTGCAAAGTCAACTAGGTAGCGACAAATGCAGCAAGTACAATTTTTTTTAGGACGGTGAAATGCGAATTTGAGGATTTGTCATAGACACAGGTTACTTCTTTTTATACTTCGTCTCACTACACAGTGTAAGCTATGCCAACAATCTTCTTCTGCTAATAGGATAAAATATAAGACATAGGACAATATATTTGGAACGAATAGAATATAAAAATATTCATATATAGTCTGCATTATATTCAACTGTAAATCTGTAATATATGGCACATCTGTTTTACTTTAATATAGAGTATATAACACTATCTATAACAGAGTGCAAATGGTTCAGCTCATGGACTGACAGGCTCACGGTAGGCGCGGCAAGCCGGCAACGCCGCGCCCTGGGTTTCTAGTCAGGGTCTGGGTCTTGGGGTGGCTGGGTGCACACTGCACACCTCTACCGGCCTCACCCAACCAGGGAAACACGGTACACCGACAAGCAGAAGCAGGTAAAGGATCCACGCGGCACGGCGGGGTTGCATGCCCCGCGTCCCAACAGAAATATTATATAATACATATGTATTTTAAAAAAATAATTAAATTTATTTTATCTATCTTCCTCCTTCTTTCTCATCGGTGACCACCGGCGCGGCCGCCGGCGATCAGGGAGCTCGCCCCAGCGCCCGCGTCCGCGCATCTAGCGCGTCTGTTTCTTTCTGGTTGGCAAACAGCAGTAGCAGAGTAAGTAGCTATTCTGATCCGACGGACCTCTCCCATATATCAGCTGTGTAGCAGACCAAGTAGCTGGCTCAGCTAGGCCATAGGCAGGGCAACACAGCACATACAGCATGGGACTGCTGCGTGCCCCGCGTCCCAAACCCCGCCACCTGACGCCCGACGGGCCACGAGATCTCATCAAGCGTGATTATTCGTTCCATTTCCATATAGGCGAGCCTTCCAGTCGCTTCTCTCCCTGCCCAACCGAAGCACGGCACGGGCGCACGGCAGCTCCTGCACCCGCCACGCGTCCGCCCGCCCTCCCGCCCATAACCACGTGTGCGTCGAGGTGGCCCTCGCCTCCCCGGCCCGCTCCTATTATATCCTCGTCGAGCCCCTCACTAAAGCAGTCAGAGATTGAGGATCACCGATCACGGTCCCCAAAAGCAGCGGCTCTGTCACCTTCGATCGCGAGCTGCACCAGTTCGATCGGACCAAGGTCGCGTCGACGTCGACGGCGATGGACGCTCTCACGCGCAAGCACGTCCCCGAGGACGTCGGCCTCCGGAACACCGGCGAAGGTGAGTTACTCCCCGACCCCGCCGGCCACCGAGCCGATCGCTAGTCTGCGCTACATACTACGCGTTCTCTCTTACCTTACTCTGTGATGCTGCGCGTGCAGTGGAGGACGAGGGAGCCGGGGGCCAGGCCCAGCTGCACCACGACGAGAAGCAGCACAAGCCGGTGCTGACGAAGGTGAAGGAGAAGATGAAGAAGATCAAGAACACCTTCGCCGGCCACGGCCACGGCCACGACGGTGAGCACGGCGGCGGCGACGAGCGCATGGGGGACGCAGGCACCGGCACCGGCCGCGGCAGCAGCAGCAGCAGCGAGGAGGCGGAGGAGGACGCGGTGGAGAAGGGCGGCGCGCCAAGTAAGTGCTCCCACCTGTTCACCGGCGCCGCGTGCTAGGCTGATTCGGTTGCACGTGTGCTTACGTGTCTGCGCGACCCGTTTGCAGTGTACGACTCGGCGAGGGCACCGGCCGTGCAGGACCTCGTCGCCAAGTACGATCAGCCGGCGTGCACACCGGCCGTGCAGGAGGTGGTCGGCGAGGGCACCGGCCTGGTGATATCGGCGGTCCCGTCGTCGAGGATCCGGCCGCACCGCGCTCCACGACGCCCGCCGCGCGAGGTATGGCACACGCCGAACGCCACTCGATCATGTCTTTTGGCACTCTGCTCGTGTTGCCCTGGCACTTGACACGTTTCCTTTTCGTTGCAGAGGGTGAGGACATAGGCACGACGCCCGTGGTGCAGCAATTCGAGACGACGAGTTTGTCCGACGACCCGGCGCACGTGGGCGCGGGCAAGAAGGGCGCCAAGGCAGAGGCGGACACGGTGGGCGGCGCGGCCGGTGGCGCTAGCTACACGGACAGGCTCAAGAACGCGGCCGCCGGCACCACGGAGTACGGCAAGAAGCTAGCGAGCACGATGTACGAGAAGGTCGCCAGCGTCGGCACCGCTGTGGGCGTGGGGAAGCGCGACGACGAACAACGCACGGAGGCGGTGCCGTCGTCGAACACCGCCGGCGCGGAGGAGTGGAGAGACGCCCCCGAGGCCACGGACACGGACGCGACGAGAGGCGCCGGGTACACGGACAAGATCAAGTCGGCGGCCGCGGGCACCACTGGGTACGGCAAGCAGCTGGCGTCCACCGTGTACGCCGGCGTCGGCACCGCCGTCGCGCCCAACCTCCGTCCGCAGGAGAGCTCGGCGAAGGCGGAAGGCGCACACAGCGAGGCAATGCCGGTGTCGGACACCGGCGCTGAGGAGTGGAAGGACGCCCCAGCTGCCACGAACGCGACCAACACCGCGTCGGGGCCGGCGGGCTATACGGACAAGATCAAGTCCGCGGCTGCCGGCACCACGGAGTACGGAAAGCAGCTGGCGAGCACCGTGTACGAGAAGGTCGCCGGCGTCGGCACCGCCGTGGCGGGCAAGGTCCAACAGGCCACGCAGTCTGCCGGCACGGCGACGCCCGGGCCCGGCGTGCAGCAGGACACGGCCACCCCCGGCGCCGGCGGGCAGGACAAGGGGGTGACCGTCACGGGGTACATCGCCGAGAAGCTCCGTCCGGATGACGAGGACCGCGCGCTCAGCGAGGCGATCTCTGGCGCCGTGCAGCGGCGCAAGGAGGACGTCGGGGGCACGGTAGCGCAGCGCGTGCCGGCGCCCGGTCAGGTGATCACCAAAGCGCGCGATGCCGTCATGTCGCTCACCGGCGGGAACCGGGTCTCCGAGACCGTACAGCCAACCACAGCCACAGGTACATTGGAACAATATAACTACCTTTTTTTTTTTTTTTTGCCAGAAGGAACTAACCATTAGCAAAGCTGACGAGAGACGGGTTGCAGGGGAAGACGTGAAGGAAGGCTATGCGACGGAGGCGCCTGTGATCCGCGGGGAAGAGATCGGCAGCGCGAAGCTGAACACGAATACCATGTGAAGTGCTGCTACTAATGGAGTCTGGAGAGCACCGCTGCTCTGTGTGATTATTGTGTCAGGTTTGTGTACACGTGAATGATGTGGTTTGCGATGTGGAGCCGAAGCTGGAATAAGCGTGCTGGTTGTGTTCGCCGTGGTGCGCTCTGGTTTTACATGTTCGTGTGATTGTGTATCAACATTTCCACAAGTAGTTGTATGTATGTATATGTATATGTTGAAAAAAATGTTCCGTTTTTGTTGCGTTCGTACAGTCGTGCTTGTCGCGTGCTGCATCCAAATGTTCTGTTTTTACAGTGCTGGCAAATAAGAGCCATCCATTTAGATAGATTTAATAGATCTGATGGTTTTAAAATAGTAAGAACCACTACCGATGAACTTAAGTTATAGCCCAAAATCTAAAATATTGCTTGCTTCCTGAATGGTCAGGAACTAATTTAGTTGTTGGCTTGTTTCCTGAATGGATGAATTTCTGAATGGCTGGTGTCTAGCTCGTAACTGTCTAGCTTGAAACTGAATCTTAATGAGCTCATTTTTGTGCTTATTGCTAGTAAAAGCTCTCGCTATCTATTATACTAGTCGTTGATCGCAGAAGCGTCATCAAGCCAGCATAACGTGACAAGAAATTTTAGATGGTAGCACATGGGACAAAATGTTTATACGGGTAGAATCAAATGACACGAAAGACGATATGTTCATACTAATAAATATTATGAAGTATGGTGTGTCGTCATCAAAGTCACTTGGTCAATAGCGTATACCGGTTATAATAGAAATGAGAACATGCTATGTGCGGCAGGATGCGTGCAGTCACTGCTAACACAACTACTTTTTATCTAGGGAAGGACTTTTTATCTAGGATCAATGACCTCACTGACGCTTCTCTGTAGTTCAAACGATCAACGTTGACTAATTATAATTGACAACGAGAGCTTATACTAGCAAATAAGCGTCAAAATAAGTTTATCAAGATTCAAACAATTCAAGCTAGGCACCAGCCATAATAGAGCATGATTTTAGAAAAAAAAACTAAAACTAGTTTTCAAAAGCTCACGGGGGTTTTAAAAAACTGGTTTTACTGATTAGGGAGGGAAATTGAACGACCGTTATAATTGGAGGAGATAAATTGGACCTTTTGAACTACAGAAAGAGCGGGTCGTCGCTAATCTGTGGATGTTTCAAAGGAATGAGTAGGCCAGATTGAGGCCCAACAGCAACATGTGCCATATCCAGAGAAGCCCAATAAGCAGGCAACAAAGATTCTGCCCTGGCAAGTGAGTTCATTTCGTGGCGGAATTGAGCGCACGGCGGCAGCAGGCAGCTAAGACTCCTTTCCCTTGGCACCGGCGAGCCGCCGTGCCGCCCCACCCTTCGAACTATAGCTCGGCGCCATCACCTTCCCGTGGAGCCACTCACTCGCCATGTGCTTGAGTGCGCGTACTCTATGATCACGGGCGCTCACCTACCTCCGTTCCGAGCAGCCCGGGCGATCTCGGCCCGGCTCTGCCCGTCGCGGCGTCTCTGCAGCGTCGGTTCCAGAAACGGCGGTGAGAGTCCTCCAGACACTGGACAGCGCAATGGCGACGGAGTCCGTGAGGGAGGGGAGGAGGTGGCAGGCCTGAACGCCGGCCGCTTCCCGCGGGAAGTACTCCTCCGGCTGCCGCCGCCCCGAGGCCCGCCGGAGGGCGATGACGATGACGGTGAAACTTTTTCCCCTGGACACAGTTCCAGGAGGCGGTTCTTCGAGGATGTGAGGCTGGAGGCGGACAGGATCTTTAGGATACTGCTGCAGGATGGCCTGGGGTTCAGCGCCCGCCAGGCGCTCGATGAAATGCGCCCGAAGGTGTCCATTGAGCTGGTGAGGGAGGTACTGTTCAGGATTGTTGTGTCCGTGGACAGTGTGAACCGTGAGAGGTACCCGAAGCTGGCGTATAAGTTCTTCATATGGGCGGGGCAGCAGGAAGGGTACCAACACGGCACGAGCATGTACAACCTCGTCATGAAGGTTTTCGCCGAATGTGGGGAGGTCAAGGCGATGTGGCGGCTGTTTGAGGAGATGACGGAGAAGGGGCTGCCTGTCTCTTCCCGGACGTTCCACCTCTTGATATGTGCATCTGGGAAGGTTGGGTTGAGGCGGAGGCTGGTGGAGAGGTTCATCAAGTCGAGTACTTTCAACTACCGCCCATTCAGAAATGCGTTTAATGCAATATTGCACACACTTCTGACCATAGAGCAGTACTCGCTGATTGAGTGGGTTCACGAGAAAATGATCCTTGAGGGGTACTCACCTGATGTCTTGACATACAATGTGGTGATGCGTGCAAAGTATATGCTCGGGAAGTTGGATCAATTCCATCGGTTACTTGATGAGATGGGAACAAATGGGCTTACGCCGGACCTCCATACTTACAATCTGTTGCTTCATGTGCTTGGTAAGGGAGACAAACCCCTCGCAGCTCTCAATTTGCTGAACTATATGAGTGATGTTGGGTGTGTGCCAAATGTGCTCCATTTCACAAATTTGATAGATGGTCTTGGCCGTGCTGGCAACCTAGAAGCTTGCAAGTATTTCTTTGATGAGATGATCAAGAAAGGGTGTGACCCAGATGTTGTCTGCTATACTGTTATGATCTCAAGCTATGTGGCAGCTGGGGAATTTGAGGAAGCCCAGAGGTTTTTTGATGATATGCTGGTGAGAGGGCAGCTTCCAAATGTGTACACATACAATTCAATGATACGGGGGCTTTGCACAGTAGGGGAGTTTGATAAAGCATTCACTATGCTGAAGGACATGGACTCACATGGATGCACGCCAAACTTCTCTGTGTACAGTAGTCTAGTAAGTAGACTGCGGATTGCTGGGAAGGATACTCAAGCTAATAATGTCATTAAGTACATGACAGATAAGGGTCATTATCTTCATCTGCTGTCAAGGTTTGGAGGGTTTAGAAGATGGTGAGATGAGATGCTCTATAGTTAGATGCAGAGGTTCATTTCTTTTGGCTGTTTGCGTTTCTGACAGATGGATTATGAAGGAGTATCCTATGGAAGTGGTTACACTATAATTTTTATGCTTGATGTAGCACATGTCCTGCGGGATTCTTTGTTTGTTGATGAAGTACAGAAAAGAAGTGTTGTATGCTGTTCTTGTTTGAGATAGGGTGGCGGACACTAGTCATGAGTAATCAATAAATCTTGATTCCCTGGTCCTCTGATCTGATAGAATGAAAAAGATTTATATTGCTCCCTCAACTAGATATGCTCAAGAAATCATACCTAGATAGTTGCATGACTTGTTACTGTTAGCAACATCGCTGCAGTAACTAGTGCCTTTCCTGGTATGGGTTCTGCACAGAAAGTCATTTCTACCAACCCTAGCATAGGATTTGTTGATTACATGTTAGAAATTAGACAAGCCTGTAAAATGCATCGTGAATTATCTTTAAGCACTAAGAGGTGGAAGTCTATGCATTATTGCCCCTTTCCGGTGCTGTTTAAGATATTGGCAGTATCTGATCACTTGACTGCTTGATTGGTACTCATACCTGTTAAAAAGTTTACCTTTTCTTTAAGTGATAGCGATAGGTGCAACATGGCAGTTAGTATATTAATTATTATTCATATAGATTTCAAGATTCAGTCTGTCCAGTCCTCCGTTGCTTCAAGGAGTATGCATATGATTCATTTTTTTTTTATACAGGTCTGCCAGGATATTTGAGTTTCCTGATAAATGTTAGTTAGATTGAGCATCTAGCCATCTAGTCTCTCTTTTCTACCTTAATTGAAAGACAGAGCTCCTGTCACTTTGCTGCATAAAGAAGGGAACATCTAATTACTTACGAACATAAGTTGGTTAGGAGGTAGCGTAGATGCTAAAAGCAATGCACAGATTGTACTTTTATTTTTAACTAATACTGTATGTACTCTGTAGTATAAATATTACATAGTAAGTCCACATAGCAACATCAGTCCAAAGTCAAAGCTATTGCAACTGAAGATAGGTGAGGCCATGTGATGATATTATATGTTTTATAGGTTTATCACTTCTTCTCTTCTTTCTTCTCTTCTTTCTTCTCCTCTTTCTTCTCTTCTTTCTTTTCCTCCTTTTTCTCCTCTTTCTTTTCTTCCTTCTTTTCTTCTTTTGCAGGTCCAACAGACACAATGTCAATCTTCCCAATCTTCTTTAACTTCTTGGCAATCGCCACCGCGTCCATCTCGCCTATGATGGTCATCTTGTTCTCCTTCAGATCCGCTGCTATGGAGTCAATACCTGTGCACGGAAGAATGTATGTATCATCAAATTTTCTTGCTGACACATCGTTCTTTCTTCTTGTTCAGCGCTTTGTAGAAGTATATTTATTTTTCCATTTTATGTGTTGTACTGCTGTTAAGATATGGCATGAAGAAAAACCAGACTGAGAAAACATTCTTTCGAAGATTATAACTGCTTACTGCTAACAAGTAAATATCCTCATAGCAACTAGAATCGAATAGACAGGTTGCTAAGTTTTCTTCAGTCTACACGTTTTTCAAATATTTATGTACTGGATTTGAAAACCCCAGTTCTTTTTGTGAAACATATACCAACCCCTTGTACAACTTTCATGCATAAAGAAGAGTCATTCGGACCACACACAGATTTCCTGAGTGGTCCTCATCTTTGTGTTAGCATATTTGATAAGCGAATTCCACCTAATATGATTTATCCTCTCGAGCTTCTGTCTTAAACTCTACTTAATGAAATACACGTGAAGTCGTGTTCTCGAAAAAAAAGCTTCTGTCTTAAACTCATCCTAATCATTGGAAGTATGTGCCTTAAAGATTGAATGGTGGGCAAACAATGAAACAAACAATATGCTAGTTTGTGCAAATACCATATCCAATGCCTTCTTTTGCAGAACATATTTTCCAAGCCTCAACAGCAAAACAATCCATCATCCAGAAAACAGGAAGACAGTCAACCAGAGGGTGGATGCAAAATGTTACCATAAATGTCTGCAACAGCTTCGATGGCCTTCTGCTTGATCTTGTCATCTGTCATGGTTGGAACCCGGAGCACCACCTTCTGCTGCGGACCGATCAAGCAACGCAGAGCTATGAGCAACCGAAGGAACTGAAGAACCAAATCAGGAGGGAGAATTCTGCATACCTGAGCCATCTCAAAGCTCTGGACAAAGGAGTGGAGGATAGGAGGGGAAAGGCAGACGCTATGCTCGAGAATGCCCTGCGATGGGTATGTTCATACAAGGAGAAGAAACCAAAGCTAATGCTGCTGGTGTATTCCTTTATATAAAGGCGCGAGTGCACTTGGCCGTCTGTTCTTGGTGCTGAGTAGCCGGGTAGGCCGAGTGGGGCTGTTTTTGGCTGGCACTGCAGGCTGAGGAGCCGAGGAGGTGAGGTTGTCTATTTCGCCAACCCACAGTTTTATATTGGTGCGTTCGCGTACGTGCGGCCGGCCTGATTCATTGCTGACGCGCAGTCAGGCTCGTATGACTTTTGTGTTGACAGTGACTAGTAATCCCTCCTCGCAGAACTCTGCATTCAAGAAGAGGTACGAAAAGGACGGTTGATTATTGATACCACTCTTTCGTTATACCTTTTTATTATTCTGTTTGGGTACCGGTTGTGAAGTCTCTCGTTCTGAATGGCCTTGTTTAGTTTCAAAAGCTTTTCCAAAAAAGTGATACAGTAGTTATCACATTGAATCTTGCGATATGTGCATGGAGGATTAAATATAGACGAAAAAAAATTAATTGTATAGTTTGGTTGGAAATTACGAGACGAACGTTTTGAGCCTAATTAGTCCATGATTGAACACTAATCACCAAATAAAACAAAAGTGCTACAGTAACCCGATTTCCAAAATTTAGCCAACTAAACCATGCCTCAGTCTGAATGAATTTGCGTGCTTGCAGGCGCTGTGTGTACACAAGCTGTGAAGGAAGGACTGAAGGCCCCGCGACAAGCCGACGCTAATCGACCACGCCACCGAACGCAGAAAAGACGCCGGACTTCATTCTGGAACCAGAAGGAGTGTGGCTGGATGCGGCATGCCAAGTGCCAACACGGGGTCACGGTCGAAGGCGTCGTCGTCGACCTGACGGGGTGGTGACGGTGTGGGCGGTGGCACTACGCCTGGTACAGACGTACAGTGATACCATTCTTCTTTATCCGATTATCCGATTCCATTTTGAGAGAGTGATGTGACTCGGGGTCTCGCAGGCGCTAGATGATGCTTGACGCGGCAGCCATCGCAGGCCACAGGGCGAGAAAAATGGGCACTAGCGGGTTGTTGTTCGCCGGTTGTTTGGCACAACGGAAGAACTGCACGCGTGTGGCTAAAATTGTTCGGAACAGGAAACGATTAAAATCCAGAGACTCCGCCTCCGGCCTTCTCGCAGTGCTAGCGCCTGACTGGGGTTTTGAGATGAAATTTCCTTGGAAAATTTTCATTCCAGTGACTTTTTTATGTCTTTAAAATTTGCAAATTATAATACCTGTACAAAACTTTTCGGAATATCCTCTGGGCTACGGCCTTATTGTTTGGTTTGCAACAGGCCAGCAGCCATCAAAGGTATGCACGGTGCACAATGCACAATTGGGCAGGGCTGGTGAACCCCGTGTTGAGTCCGGTGCAGATGAAGCCTGTCCCAGTTTTTTTTTATTTTTTTTAGAGGGGAGCCTGTCCTAGTGCCAGCAGCAAACTGGTCCAGATATGGGCTGGGCTATCATCAGCTTAGGGGCTGCTTGGATTCTTTGCTAGCCACTGTGTTGCCTTGCTCAGTGAGAAATCAGATGTGAACTTGTGTTTGAATCTTGAGCCAGCTTACCCTGTAGTCCATGCAGGCAAGATTTTGCCTTGCTTCTGTGGGAGAGCCAAATTGGCTCACCCGCGCTAGCAAGGCAAGCTTGCTCGGTCAGGGCCCGGCGAGGCAAGGATTGATGTAAACCAAGTAGCCCCTCAATAACTCATGGAGCTGCTGGAAATGCCCTGACAGATCAGCATGTTTATTCATCTTAAAAAAAAGAAGAAGTAGACCTTGTTATTGTCTATGTCACTTGTTAAAGCCATAAACCAAAATATTTTGGTCTTTTGAATGAGACTGGATCATGCTGCTTTACGCAATTTAATTTGGCCCCTCTATTAGAGGGGTTAATTAGAGATGGAACGGTTCTTTTCAAACAAACTTGGCTGTCAAGTTTTTTGCCAAATATACCTGCCTCTCAAGTTTCGCTGGATCAGAGGTAAAACCTTTCTTCCGATTCTTAAGGTCTGTTTATGTTGACCTTATGCCTACTATATAGTCCCTTTATCCTGAAATATAAAATGTGATTTTACTTAAGATCAAACTTTGTCCGTTAATTTCTCTTACAACTATATAATTTATGATGAAAATTGACAATTAAAAGATATTTCTAAATATAATAAATTCAACATAACCACTTTTGTACTATAAACATCTCAAACTAATTATTAAGCCTGTTCGCTTGTTGCTTTCAGCCAGGGCTTATCAGTCAGCCAACAGTGTTTTTCTCTCACAACAAACCAGCACCAACCAAGCTTATCAGCTCAGAAACCAACTAACGAACAGGCTCATTGTCAAACATAATAAAGTTTGAATTTTAAAATACATGCACGCCATATATTTGGGCACTGAGGGAGTAGCGTTCTTTGAGGAAAAACAGATCATGTCAACGTTGTGGTCTATGTGTTTTACACTCTGATAGCTCTGAACATTTTAGCAATTTCAATTTATCGCATTTTTTTGTTGCCTTTTCACTTTCTCAGTGACAGGTGACGTACACCTCCATAACGATGTTGAACTGACTTCATTAGTCTCAAAACCCACCAGACGTGTTTGGAAACAAAATGGGAGAACTGCTCAGTTCAAATTTAGAACTGAATCCAAGATTTAGGTCGAGACCCCACCGGTTCAACACCAGAGCCTCCAAATTTACTTTTTTCTAATAGGAGTACTATGTACTCGGATTGATATGTCCTGGCAGCAAATGAGACTCGGATTGATCAAGCCCTCGCGTGCGAGGACTCGGATTACCCGTCAAGCACTCCCTGGATTCCACTTCCACCATTGGATTGGGAGCCCAACTTCTGTGGCGGGTGCCTTGCCACTCACGAAGCCGCCTCGTATAAATCCCGGTCACCGATCACACGGCAGGCGCCGCCACTCGAGCACTTCTCCGACTTCGATCGCCCTGTTAAACCCCGGGACCGGGAAGAAGCTCCAGCACGCCAGCACGCCGCGGCGCGGACGTGGGGGCTCCATCCGTCCCGTTCTACCCGGACAACCGCCGCCGCAGGGGCCGGCGGCGAGTGCGGGGGCCGCCCGATCCACGCCATGGAGAAGGTGACCGCCCGCGGACTCGACCTCCTCTCACTCCGCTTTGAATTCTCGAACGCGATTGGCGTGTAAGTGCGACGCCCCTGGTTATAGGCTGCGCGGGAATTGTAGTCGCGTTTACGGCGAACGTTTTTGGGTGGAGCTTCCTCTTAACCAGCGGCGGATGCAGGAAATTTTGTAGGCGAGGGCTGAACAAAAGTGCGACACGTCTTGTACCTCCGACTGCTGCCCCTCCTACGCTATAAAACTTTGCCTAAAAATTCAGTGGACTCCAGGGCTCTGGTATGGTTAAGGGGCTCTAGCCCATGGCCCCCATGCTGTAGCCCCGACACACAAAAAAAAAGTGCTGGCTTATCAGATGGCGAAACAATATAGCCCAGCTGCTGTTGAGGAATCGTATGTTGCTTGTTGTCACTTTACTGAATGCTAACATTAGAGCCTTTGCAACTCATTGTAAGAAGTATGTGTCGGTGTTTCGGACCGGAGGTCCTCAATCAACCAGTGAATTTGTTCTGCGTGCTCCCGATCCGGATGGTAATGCAAAGAGACTCAAGGTTTATACTGGTTCAGGCAATCGAGGCCCTACGTCAAGTCTGAGAGATCGATCTTGTATTCCTTGCACCGAGGTGCTCGTAGTAGGGGGTTACAAGCTAAAGGAGAGAGGGAGCTGGTCCTAGGTCTCGGCTGGGTGTCGTGCGGGCCGCTTGAGACGTTGCTCTCAGGCGGCAGGAGTGCGTGTGTGTGTGTGTCACAAGGTGTCCCTCTCCCCCTAAAAACAGCCCAGGTCCTCTCCTTTTATAGCATGAAGGGAGGACTAGGGCGGTACATGACCTAACTATACGGCGTCGTGTGAACAGAGGCGGCGTGTCCGGCCCCAGTAGCTCGTTCTCAATGGCGGTGTGGCCGTCGGAGTGGTCCGTCCTTGGAGCACTGGGGCGACGTGGCCGTGCTATCAGATCCTGTGCGTCGTGGGAGCCCCGGGACTGCCTCGGAGTGGGTGCGGCGGTGGACGTGCAAGCCACTGTGGACGGACTGCGCGCGAGGCCGAGACTTGGTCGGTGTCGAGGCTGCACCATGGTGGAGGGGTCTCGGCAGGCACGATCCCCAAGATGGCCGAGACCTTGGTGTACGGTGCCGAGGCCTCGAGTGGGCGGCTGATCGTGGGTACAAGTGTTAGGACACGATGGCGGTAATTCCCCGCACTGCCTGTCCCGGCCGGTATGGCGCCGATCGTGGATACTGACGTTAGGACACGATGGCGGTAATCTCCGCAGTACCTGTCCCGGCCGGTATGGCGGCTGATCGGATGCGACCTTAGGTCGCGTCGGCCATTCTCAGGCGCCGAGCCGTCGTCCGGCTGAGATTGCGGGAGTGGTTGAAGCATTAATGGGACATGACACGTTGTCCGGAGGGTCGGTCGGCGCGGGGTGTGACGGATCATGGGCGACCCGCCTCGAGCGACACGGAGGCTGGGCCTCTCGCGAGACGGAGATCGGGTTCCTTGCCGAGGCCTTGCGAGACGCCTCCGCGCGATCTGGAGAATGTACCCCTGCCGAGGCCTTCCCTAGAGCCTCGGGCGAGACGGAGATGGCGCCCCCCTGCCGAGGCTCGGCGCCCCGCCGAGGCCTACCACTGGGAGCCTCGCACGAGGCGGAGTTTGTTCCGAGACCTCCCGCTTTCGAGGCTCGAGGCGAGGTGGAGGAGGGCTCTGTCGTGGCAGGTGTGAGGGCCCCACGGCTTACCTTCTAGCTTTATTTTGATGTTTGCTTGGGGTACCCCGTTCTAAGGTACCCGACAGTAGCCCCCGAGCCTCGGGGTGAGTGCGTGCACTCTCTCTGAGGGTTCGTCGAGGCTGGGTTTATGCCTGCTCCGTAGGAAATGGTTTGTTTTCTGAGGTTCCGGTGGGTGCGCGCGAGCGCACCCGCCGGGTGTAGCCCCCGAGCCCCTGGAGGAGTGAAGTTACTCCTCCAGGCGCTTTCTCCATTTTCGCGTTTGAGTGATCAGTTCTTATTGCATTTGCCGAGCCCATAAGCACAAGTTCGGGTTGCGGGGGTCTCGGCAAGGTTGCAAAAAAAAGGCCCTCTAGCCTCCGCACGGAGCGAGAGGTTCGTCAGGGGTCCCCCTGACTTTGGGTATGTCCCTCATGCTTCCTTTCGCTCGGAAGGAGGGGTGGAATGTGCCATGCTACCCTCGATGGGCGCGAGCGTGGACACTTTCGGTGAGCTGTTATCGGGTAGTCCGAGTGGAGGCCCGAGCCCCGTTCGCTAGGGGACGGCTAGCGGTCCAGAGACGCACTCCAAAAGTACCGGAGGATTTCTCTAGTGGGTGCCGAGGCCATTCGCTGGGCCTCGGTGGCTCGGTGCCTCCCTACGGTGGGATCCCATTCGGATACTTTCCTGTCGGTCTCGGACACGACTTAGGACGCCCCGAGCGACTATTCGTTCGGGCCTGGGCCATTCGTAGGCAAGCCCCGAAGTCGTCCCTGACTCTGTTGCCCTGAGGCGACTGTCAAAACCTCTTGGAGGCCCAGCCTTCGAACCCCTGGACCGTAACGGGCTCGGTGCCCTTTATCGTGTTTTTGTCTTGGTTTTTGGGTGCAAGAGGAGCCCCCGAGCCTCCGCCTGGAGCAAGAGGACGGTCGGGGGTCTCCTGACTTTTTCATTCGCCCCTCACATATCCTTTTCGTTTGGACGGAGGGTTTGTTTGCCGAGCCCATTCTGGTCTCGGCAAGGTCGCAGGAAGAGCCCCTAACCTCTGCGCAGAGCGAGAGGGCCGTCGGGAGTTCCCCTGACTTTTTATACGCCCCTCGCGCGTGAGGGTTTGTTTGCCGAGGCCCCTTTTGGGCATGGGCCCGAGTTGTGGGGTCTCGGCGTATTTGCAGGAGGAGCCCCCTAGCCTCTGCACAGGGTGAGAGGGCCGTCAGGGACTCCCCTATCTTTTTGTACGACCCTCACGCTTCCTTTTCGCTCGGAAGGAGGGGTGGAATGTGCCTCGCTACCCTCGATGGGCACGAGCGGTGGTACTTCCGGTGAGCTGTTATCGGGTAGTCCGAGTGGAGGCCCGTACCCCGTTCGCTAGGGGACGGCTAGCGGTCCAGAGACACACTCCAAGAGTACCAGAGGATGTCTCTAGTGGGTACCGAGGCCGTTCGCTAGGCCTCGGTGGCTCGGTGCCTCCCTACGGTGGGATCCTATTTGGAGACTTTCCTCCGGTCTCGGACACAACTTTGGGCGTCCCAAGCGTTTCGCTTGCTTGGGCCTCGGCCCCGTATGGGCTCGCCCGCGGTCATCCCTGACTCTGTTATCCTGGGGCGGCTGTCGAAACCCTTTGGGGTCCAGCCTTCGAACCCCTAGATCGTAATAGGTTCAGAGCCGGATTCCTTCATACGAAAGGAATAGGCCGCAGGGAATATCTTCCCTGTTGGCTCGGGTGGCGCGCCTTTTGAGGCAGTTTTATTGGGAGTCGAAATGGTACCTGCTGCCATAGTGGCCGAGCATGGCGTGGTGGATGGGACGTAACCGTCCTCGCATTTAATGCGGGAGACGTGGGCGCGTGGGCCGGTGAAATCGGCTCGTGGTTAACCGCGCCAGATTGGGGGAAATCTCCCCGATTTCATCGCCCGCTCGTTTCGCCTCCTCCCTGCATAAATACCCGGGGAGTTTTGCCCCTCCTCGTCTTACCTTGCCTGCATTAGCGCCGCCCCCGCCGAGCCGTCGCTAGAGCAGCGAGTGCCGAGAAGGAGAGGAGGAAGAGCGAGCCTAGGGAGGAAGCGAGAAAAAAGTGAGAGCGTGGGAGGGAGAGAAAAGACTCACCGCCGCACCTGATTCCCCCAGCGCACCCATGGCCGGTGATATCGTTGTCGTCGAGGCTGACCCCTGGGATCCATCGGACGTCACCGAGGAGATGCTCCAGTCGCTTGTCGACGGTGGGCTCCTCCGCCCGGTGACTGACTCCGCCAGGCCGGAATGGATTGCTCCGTACGGCGAGCCGGAGCCGAGGCCTCGCGACGGCTACGTCGTAAGCTTCGTCTCCTTCCACGAGCGTGGCCTCGGCGTCCCGGCGGACCGGTTCATGCGGGCGCTTACGCACTACTACGGCGTGGAGCTCCACAATTTTAATCCCAACTCCGTTTCTCAAACGACTATCTTTGTTGCCGTCTGCGAGGGGTATTTAGGGATCGCGCCCCATTGGGAGTTGTGGCTCCATCTGTTCCGGGCGGGGCATACTACAAAGCCGACGGGCACGTCGGGCAAGAGGAAGGCGGCGAGGGCCGGAGGCTGCACTCTCCAAGTGCGTCAGGACCGCCTGCACCTCTACATCCCGGCCCAACTCGCGTCCTCCAACCGCCGGTGGTACACGAGTTGGTTTTACCTTCGTAACGACGACGGAGGGCTTCCCCCCTACACCGGGTGGATTGTGGGGAGTTGCCCGGAGAAGTGGAAGTGGGGCATCCCGAAGGTCGACCAGCCCAAGCTGGAGCCGCTCCTAGAGGGGCTGGTGAGGCTGCGGGGCCACGGCCTCACCGCGGCTGTGGTTGTGGTCGCGTTCAATGCCGGAGGGTGCTGCCGCTGATGGCTCGGCGACGGCGGCTGTTCGAGATGAAGCCGGGTGAGCCCATTGAGGGCACCCGGATGTCCTCCTCCGCCCTTTCCGAGGAGGAGATTCTTCGTCGGGTGGGGGAGACGGTAGAGGCGAAGCTGAGGGGCGGCAACTTGACCCCTATCGCGATGCGGCCATCGCGGGGGTTCCTTTCGCTGCTAAGTCGTGCGCCGCTGTAGCCTCTAAACCTCCTCAGTCCCCTCCTTCCCCTTGTTCCCTTATGTGCGTTTGTCGTTCCTTTAGGGGATGAGGGACGTGCGCTCCTCTCCACCGCCCGTTCCCAAGGACGCGGGGCGGCGGGCGGTCAACCGTGCTCACGCCGATGCGCAGAAGAGACGAAAGGACGCCAAGGCGGCGAAGCGCACAAAGCACATCCTCGCGCGCGAGGAGCTGGATAAGCGCCGCCGTCAACAATGGAAGGACGGTCTTTCGCTGGAGGAATCCCCGTCGACGTCGTTGTCGACAGAGG